GATGGTTGTGTAATGCGCGCATCCTTTTCATATTATACATTTTCTGCTATAAATTTAACATTTTATTTGTTTTACCGGGAAACTTACCGGAGTATTAAAATACGTAAAATTTAATTGGAAACGAGTTTGATTGTGTTTTGCTATTTTTGAATCTAATATACTATACAGGGTTATTTTTCAAAGAGTAGCCAAATGTTAAACTTAAGTTATTATTTTTAGTTATTGCAATTTTTGAAAATACGAGTAAATAAGGCTTCTACTTTTATTTGAAATTATTCCAAATTTAATGTGATTTATGGGCAACAACGTTTTTGTTTACCGATCGACCCTTACGAATGTGTGCGTGCGCAGTAAAATCAGTTAAAATAATACATTACCACGTATTTTGAATTTAAAAAATAAAAAGGACAGATTGTTTTATTTATTTAAATTAATTTTCTTCGCCATTTACCTATATTACATATTCTAAACCTTCTCTGCAAATATGGCCGATTATTGCAAAATAACCCTGTATATGCTCATGGAACAGTTGGAGGTTCTTTTGTGGAAATAGTTTGTATCCTATTTTTAAATTACAATTTCTAATAGTATTGAATTTTTGTAATAAACTCTTTATATTTATTGTGTTGTCTTTGAAAGTATATTTTATTTTTCGGTATTAACGTTGAGTGGATATCTTTTAACTTAGATGGCGCTACTAAAACGCATCTATATGTCTAATATAACTATATGTTTAAATTATATTTAATTGTTTTATTAAATTGAAATATTAAAATATTAGTTATTAAATACATTTCGAGAACATATCCCTTGACGTTTATAATAAATAAAATACTTTACCACTTTCATTATTTAATGCATGTTTTTTTATTTTTTAATATGTTCGGGAGAAAATTTTAATCATTTTATGTTTAAAAATCGGTAATATATTTGAAGTCTGTAATTGTCAGTGCCGTTAGTGCTAAAACTTAGTAAAATATTTCTTGTTGGTGGTGAGCTCTTGTTATTTATATCAGATAAATTTGTATGTATGACCCTTCCATTGTTTCTCCAGGTATGTATGTATAAGTATGCATCCCTAAAATGAGATCCATATATCTCATTACTACATAATAGTTTATTATAGTTTAATGAAACGTATCCAAACTTTCGATAATTTTGTGTTATGTCATCTCCTCCCTAAATATTTATTGTCTTTCATGATTCCTAGAAATTAAAGCTATTATTAATTTTAGTGAGTTCCTTAAAATACCCAAATGGTTTTCAGGGTGAACATTTTAAGGAAAAATAAATCTGAAACGAAAAAGGAGCAGTTAAGTTGAAGAAATTATTAGTGTGTTATATAAATGTTGATTTTTTTGTTATAGAGTTTTCATTTTCTGTTATAAATAATATTAATGTTGACGTACACACATGTATGTACGTCAACGCACGTACTTGTGATTTCTAACTATTCTCTTATTGTATTTCAAATAATAGAACTTAGTTGAAAGTTGATGTATTTGTAAGCAGCAGTAAAACTTGTTTTGTATTGCATTACTAATGCGAGTTGGATAACGAAACTGTGTCCCAATATCTTTATTTTGCGCGTCGTCATTTTTTTAGATCTTTAAAGAAAGTGTTTCAAAGACCAAACCAATTAATGTTTATTTTAAAATAAGGTCTATTTGATTGATTATTTTTGTTAAGAGGCTTCTCTGATACTATAGATTTGTTTACACCGACGAGCTTATTTTTATAGTTACATAACTCGATTCTAAATTTTCTATAGGTTTTGAAGTTAAAAATGATCTAATCTAAAGTTTTGGCTGTTACTTTTAAGACTGAAATTGATTTAAAGACTGCAGTATTATTGAAGATTTCATATGAGCCATTAAATTTCGAGTGTGGCCAGGCCAAAGGGTACAATTTGTAGTTATTGTTATATGTTTCTTCGTGTATCTATTGCATCTAAGTGTAATAATTTAGGTTAAGTTGATAAGATTTTTATAAGGATTTATGGCTAGCCAATGGAGTATTGAGTCATATTGTCTATTAAGTTTAATATATTAAAAATATTTCCATGTTAAAAATATTAAATGTTAAATGATTAAATGAAAATATTGTTCATAATTACTTTAGATCACAAATTTTCCGCTTACAGAAATTTCATTTGTTGGCGAAACCTATTCCCACACACTGTTTTAGTTTTCAAAATAATGATGCCAACAGAAAATTTACGTTATCTAATATGCGTTAAATATGATTGATAAAGGTATTTTAAATACCTTATTGCATTGTTGTTGAAGTGAGTTAATAAATAGATTTAAGAAAGTCATATGCGACAAATGAGCATTAGTCTGACAAAAAAGATGCTCTTGAAGTTTCCTTGTGATTTGTTAGTAAGTTTCATATGTAAATTTAAATTATAATAAATATCCAAATAAAAGTGGTGAACAGTTACGGTAAATATTAGCTAATTATTAGCCAGTTAATATGGTTAAGTGTTTAATATGATCAGCTTTATTAAATGTTCATAATCTAAATATTTCATAGCATGATTGATTCTCTGCCACACAGTAAATGTTGTTTATTTGTTGATTGTAAAAATATGCTAATATATTAAATAAAACAATTGAAATACCAACCTTTGTCTCCAAGCCTATTCTTAGTTATCACTATATTATTTAATTTTATAATTCATTTTTTAAATTTCAAACATTCATAACGTTATTTTAAGAAGAGATGACATAATTTTTTTTGGTTCGTGTTTACTTGTATTTCACTTGATTTTCATTGAAGGGATGCATATGAGGAAGGATACGAAGACGTTTCTTAATAATTTATGAATTACATGTTTGTTTTTATCCAACTTTAACAATTTTTCAGCATTTTCCGAACCTAAATATTGTTATATTATATTATATTGTATATGATAAGTATCTGACATATACCAATTAAATTAAAAATTAAAAATTCCTAAAAAACAAACCATTACAACTAATTTATAATGGTTTGTTTTTACGAAGTGTTATAATGAAAACGCTTTAATCGTTTTCATTACAAAAAAAAAATTGGATAATGTGTGTTACTGTATTCTATAAATATAACAAGTAACAGCGCACATTTTACACAACTATCGAATTATACAGCAAACCCCCACTTTAATGCTCCATCGGTCAAACATTTTTTAATATCTATGCCAGTTTTCATTTTGTTATTGTAACAACCAGGCGTACTAAAAGTATTGTTAAAGCATTATTACGCCCATGTGCACATTTCCCCCGATTTTAGTTATTTTTAAACATTTCCCTTGGAAGATGGTTAAATTGATGTATTATAATGGCGTTTGGATTAAATAAGTCATTCCAGATTAACATATTCGGTAGGGATATTGTAATGATCTCATAGCGAAAATATTTCACAACATTATGTACATCTACAACAAATTAATGCATCTGTATATTGTGAGGTTTATAACTAACATTTAGCTTTTATTGCTTAAACAACTTTATTTAACTAATCCTTTAACATGTGCCTTATGTAATAAAACCTACTGATCTATTGGTGATACAAAAAGTCAAAACTACAACACGAAGTAATATTTTAATACTATTACTATGTCAAACGAAATATATAAAATGTATATGCATTTATGTTAATGTACTTTACCAATTAGCAGTATTATATCTACATTCTTCACTTTGCTATTGCGAAATGTTAACGATGTTAAAAATTAACTAGCGGAGGTCCGCGTAATAAAATAAAATGGCTTACCGCGACCGCAGTCTCCTTCACCTTAGAATGCTTAGTGTGGAGGCGAAACACATGTCGTGTTATCGTCGGTGATGTGTCTTTCCTAGTGTAGTAGTTTTGGGAGTAGTGTTGCTGGGTTTAGTGGTGACGGGGGTAGTGCACGCAATTGAGGGAGGGCGGGAGGTGTTCTTCAAACTAGGTAAGACACATAGTTTTATTTTGTTACGCGGATCTTAGTTAGTGGATATTTTAACATCGTTAATATAATATCTGCCAGTAGTAAAATAAAAAATAAAATAAAAATGGTTTCGGCTTTATAAATTGCCTATGGTTTGCTGCACATATATATTTATTTTACTCTCATCTCAGACCAATAAAAAAAGAGACCTCTGCGGACATTTTAAGTGACGTCGAACACACACACACACACACACACACACACACACACACACAACACACACACACACACACAAACACACGCGCGCACACACACATCGTTTCAAACAGGCCGTATGAGTCCTTTCTTGGACACACACATATGCGTGTAAAACCACGTTGTTGGTTCCAAACGAATATGCGAAGTATACGAGTAGATGTAAATGTGTTCATGACTGTGTGTTTTTACAATATATTCAGCATCAGCGCCGCTTGAAATTTATTCAGCATTTTTTCTATTTTTTTTTATTCATCTGCAACACTATCAACAATAAGTGATATAGTGTTGTTGGCTTATTTAGCTACAAATAAAACGCGAAATTAAATATACAAAAAATGCGTGCTTTGCGGTCAGTGCACAGTATCGAAAAGCGCATGTTTCTAATAATCAAAAAAAATGTTTTAAAGCATTGTCTGTAAGAAAGCACATAAAAACTTATTTCACGTGTGCTTAGCTTTTATTTAACTCTGTAAGGCAGGTAAGGCTTGCCACATTATCTGAATGCGGCCGCATCTTGTGACGCAGTTCGAGTTTTTAAAAGAAGTGAACATTTTGTATAAAGTTCGCTTGTATCCATGAGCATAATACTTTTTTGTAGTCGCTGACATACTGCATTTCAAAAACTTACCAGCGGAATAATGTGCCATGTCAATGTTATCATGTTTTCCGGATATAATCATTAAACAGCAGAAGAAAAGAAAATTCATAATGAGTTGGCCACCGTTTACCTAATTTTTTAGATGACTTCTTTTTGACATTTCATTCATTTGGATCTATTTTATAATTTTAGTAATTAATTTAAATTATCACATTCTTGAAATATTTCCAGCCTTCCGCCATATCTTCTAACTCTCTATTACCCGAGGAGATAGCTAAGGAAATGAAAACTGAAGATCAAATACTAGCGCAGCTTAGAGCGTCACAAAATATTAGCACGTCGCAAAATATTAGCACGCCGCAGACGTTGCCGTTTATTAACGAGACTGTTTCAACATCGATTAGTAATAAACCGGACGAAGCCTACTCTCCAAATATTAGTGCTACTCCTAATTTGGAGGAGCTGCAAAAATTTATTAAATCTGAAGCGTTAGCATCGCCATCTACGACAGCCACTGAACCAGCAGTGGAAAATGAAGAAACAGAGGTAATGTCTCGGAATTGTGATTCCATGTAAGATACCAAGATTATACTTTAACATATTGTTGTTATTATATCATTTATTTTTTGTCGATTTTTGAATATAAATAACGTTATTGTAACAGGTCAAATCGGAAGTAACTCCTAAAGTTGAGCAAAAAGCAGTTGAAACTCTTGTCCCTAAACAGCAGCAACAATGCCAAAGTAAAACTTCGACCGAATTAAAACCAGCAAAATCAACCAAATCAGAGAGCGAAAAACCGGTAAAAAGTAAGGAAAACAACATCTCAAAGAGTAAGAATAAGAAATCAAAGGAAGATAAAAAGGAAGACTTAGTTGAAGTTAAGAATAAAGAAGACGATAATGTGAAAACGGAGGTGAAAATTTTCCAAATTTAAATTTATAAATTTTAATTATTGCATGTGCATAACTTTATTTTTTCTAATACAGTCAAAACGGTCAGTGGAGTCTTCACCTTCGAAAACTAAAAGAGAAGATAAGCAGAGCAAAAAGGAGCTAGAGAAAGAAAGAAAGGTAAATATTATTAATATCTTAAAACATCATTTATTTTGATTTACGAAACAAGAAAATATGTAGAATATTCAAGAAAAATATTTATTGTAACACATTAAATGATCTCTAGTTTTATTAGACTGTTTAAAATATGTTAGTATTTTACTGTCGTATACCAATACTATTAGGTGTATTGTGGTTTGTTTTTTTTTGCAATGGTAACACTATTGTAGTCTGTTCGCTTACATACGGTCATCTTCTGTGTCGCGCCGCCTCGGCACGTGCCACATTTTGTCAAAGGCGTCGTCGCGACATCAAAGGTTGTTGCAGGAGAATTTTTCATTTTATAACGAAACTCCGTAGTGAAAGGTTCCTCCGCAGTCATTCAATACATTGTCGTTGACGTGGTTGTGGGGGTCTATAAAGGAACCAATTGATCGTTATTTTCCTAGAAGAAAAGATCTTAAGAAGGGGTAGTGATCTTTTGAATCGTTACTCCCTCGTCATTGAGAAAAATCCACCCGATACCGTATTCCTATAGTATTGCATGCTGAGAGACACTAAATTTAAGTCTCATCACCATCTACCTTAAATATATTATTTTCGTTTTTTTCATAGACGTTATAAAGAAACATAACCAGTCAGTCTAGCTATGACCGCTATCGTAGAGCATTAGTGACGTGATACATTTCTTTAATGCGTTATACCTAGTCAGGTCATAAGTATTGTCACACAGTAAAAACTTTTCTTTTAGAATGCTGACCACAAAAAAGTTTATTGAATTCGAATTTCGAATTGTTCGTGAAAATAAAACTGTATACTTTTTAGAATTTTACTCATTTTAAAAATGGAGTGGACGTTTAAAGAAGACCGTGTTGCAGTTATTGCGTTGCATCGTTGCGGTTACGCGCCAATTCAAATTTTTGACATACTGAAAAATTTGAATATAAACAAAAGATTCGTTTATCGTACCATCAAACGATACAATGAAGACTAGTGTAGATGACAGGTCAAGAAGTGGTCGCCCTCGGTCTGTTAGAACTCCAGCAGTGATAAAAGCTGTGAAGGCGCGAATTCAAAGAAATCCCAAACGTAAGCAGAAACTGTTGGCCCTTCAGATGGGGTTAAGCAGAACCATGGTGAAAAGGGTGTTAAATGAAGACTTAGGGCTTCGGGCATATCAAAGAAAAACAGGACATCGTTTGAATGCTCATCTAATGGACCTGAGACTGAAGAGATGCCGCGCTTTGTTGAAGCGGTACGCGGGAAAAAAATATCGGGAAATTCTTTTTTCGGATGAAAAAATTTTTACCGTAGAAGAGAACTACAACAAACAAAATGATAAGATATACGCACACAGTAGTGAAGAAGCGAGCAACCGTATTCCGCGTGTCCAACGAGGTCATTTTCCATCCTCGCTCATGGTATGATTGGGAATTTCTTATTGGGGCTTAACAGAGGTACATTTTTGTGAGAAAGGTGTAAAAACGAATGCAGTTGTGTATCAAAATACAGTCCTGACGAACCTTGTGGAACCTCTTTCTCATACCATGTTCAATAACAGACACTGGGTATTCCAACAAGATTCGGCGCCAGCTCATAGAGCGAAGAGCACACAAGACTGGCTGGCGGCGCGTGAAATCGACTTCATCCGGCACGAAGACTGGCCATTCTCCAGTCCAGATTTGAATCCGGTTAGATTACAAGATATGGCAACACTTGGAGGAAAAGGCGTGCTCAAAGCCTCATCCTAATTTGGAGTCACTCAAGACATCCTTGATTAAGGCAGCCGCCGATATTGACATTGACCTCGTTCGTGCTGCGATAGACGACTGGCCGCGCAGATTGTAGGCCTGTATTCAAAATAACGGAGGTCATTTTGAATAAACTTTAGTGTCATAAGAATCTATGTTTTGTTAAATTCATTTTGGTATATAAATGGTTACATAATGAATAAACTTGTTTCAATTATTTTATATTAAAAATGTGACAGAATTTATGACCTGACTAGGTACTATCGCGGAACTGCCGCGTCAGTGTCACGGCGACACTGCCGTTAGCTCCCTCCACATTGCTCGGAAATCTACCTTTGAGAAAAAGTCAAAAAGCTTCTTTGCTTAACTTCGTTTTCTTTTCTTTTGTTGACAAGTTTTCTGATAAAAAAAACCACTGTAAATTGTTTTCCCATAATTACAAAAAATCTTTAGGGTATTAACACAACCGACTCTCGATAATTTGAAACTCAAGGGACCAGAGAAAGACCAAGATTTCAAAATAACAAGAGTTCAGACAACCAAGAAGGAAGGAGGAAATAATCAAGTAAAAAAAGAGTTTGATTAAAATTTGTAATTTATTATTTTAAACATTTGTACAATTACAAATGTTCATTTTGAAAAGAAGTCTCTCATATATGTATCGACAGGTCTGTACGTGTATTTTAACAAACGACAGGTCTGTGTATGACAAACGCTTCAAATTATCGAGAGTAGGGAAGCCCAGACTTCGGATTATTGCAAATTACCGAGGCGACCAATTACTGTTGATTTTATTCAATTTATCGAGTATCTATTAAGGGACCGGGAAAAAATTTCAAATTATCGAGATAATTCTAATTAACGAGTGTCAAATTATCGAGAGTCGACTGTATATTGCATAGCTACCTGACGACTTCATGTTCTTGTAAGATTTGTATGAAAAAAGCCATATCTTTTTTGGTAGATTATTCTTCAGCTTCTATTATGCGTCGCACAACATTAATTTTATCCCAAGTTATTACAGTTGTAAGAAGTCCATGACTGTTAGTCGATCGCGTAACGAAGCCCTCCATTGCTCTTTGCTGTGTTGACTGAATATAGTTGTAAGTTTAGTGCTGAACATAGATAAAAAAGCACCTAAATAATTTATCACAATACGTATTTTTATTGTTATACGTTATGAAAATTTTACATGTTCACAAGTTCATTTGTGCGTGCGATCGTGCGTGCGTGCATGCGTGCGTGCGTGTTTGAGTGCATGCGTCTCTTCTTTTAATTTCGACGTTTGTGTTGGTAGTTTCTATGTCATACGTTTACGTATAATAAATTCATTACTTGGGTTGGATTTAGAATCGTTGGGCAGGAATTTGGGAGAGTAAGGTGTTTTATTTGGTAGATGTTTGATCCCCGATTATAACAATACCACTTGCATTAAAAGGTAATGCACCGTTATTGAGAAAATAAAAAAAAAAACTATGATAACTATTATAATATTAAAAGATAGATTATTATTAATACTTTGGTCTTCTGAAAACTTTCATTGTCAACGATATAAAGCCGACGTGAATTATAGATTATTATTGTACCAGAAACTGTATTTAATCAACATAATTGTTATAACAGTTAAAATGAATTATTGTATTTTCAGGAATGGTTAAAAGAGGGTTTCACCATAGTAAAAGGGTCTGAGAAGAGCGTTACTAAGGACACCAAGAAAAAAGTAGAAGAAATAAAGACCCCTGATGAAACTGAACGTAAGAGGTAAACACCACTGTATATGTTCTGAGCATAAGTACATACTACATATAATCTAAATAAAAATATATTTTTGATTATGATGCAGTGTTTTTGTGTACTGGAACTTGCTACCCGTCTGGAGAGACTTGATCGTTCACGAAATTGAGCAAGTGCCTTTATGTGTATATGAATGTCTCTAAAAGATCGTAATATTGAAAGTAAGATCGCAATATTAAAACTAAAATAAAAAGTAAAAACGTTGAACAGCCTCACTTTCAAAATTACGACTTAAATTGCTGTCTCTTAGGTAGAATTATTTTAATTCATTATTTTAATGTTTAATCTTGTCTGTTAATACGCTATTGGAATGATCTGATATTATGCTTACAGTGTCTTAACAGCTGAAATCGATAAATTGCAATGTTCATTGAATATGTTGTTGCTCTCTTTCTTTATATAATTATATATTTTTATTCAGTATTTATTTGTAATTTGAGTTCTTTATTTATTATTAATAAAAATCTGTCTCTCTTAGCCGCACTGGTAACATTTAATTTATAACACGCCTTTAAAATGTTAACGCAGGAAAGAAGAGGAGAAAACTGCTGCTGATGAGAAAAAGGAGAAAAAAAATTCCGAGAACCAGAAAAAGCAGCAGGTATTCGTGAATCCATAAGGGACGCAAATATCACATGTAAATTACATAATAAAGCAAATGTCAGCAAAAATGTGTTCGATAATCATAATGCATTATATTGTATGGATATCATGTCTTTAGTGTGCTATCATGATGTTTTTGTTATTATTATAATTATAAGGTATTATTTTAGACGTATAAAATCTACTTTATCATCTTAACAGCTTACTGATTGATCCCTTACATAAGTTTACACATCATGTCCTTAACAGGGCAACATTTTATTTAACAACATTTCATATAATATTTATTCGTGTGTATCGTTTCATTTGTGTATATGTATTAACACAAAAAAATTCCGTTATCGTATAATCAGGATAAGGTTTTTAATTTCTTCAAAGGCGAAAACTTTCTAAAAAAGTCTGTAATGTTTTGTATATTCTATGCATATAAATAAAACTGTATGTATGTAATTTCGAATTAACTGCCCTAATATTGAGCAGAGCGGGTTATTTGCATGCCATTAAAACATGAATAACCATTAAAAAATCATCCGGGTTAATCTTCGGAACGAACAATTCAAACAATTCAGAAGCAGTGAAACTTAATGAAGAGAGAGAGAGAGAGATAGAGGGCGAGCAATGCCAGGAGTGATCTAGGCTATATTTCATCCGAAATACGGAGATTTTTTAAATTTTATTTTAAATAAATGGTCTATGATTATTATCTGAATCACATTAATAGATATTAGCGAAGCCAGGCCGGATCGCCACTCTATACATATAACTAAAATTGATGTGTCTATAAAATCGAAATAGCTGTATTTTGTTGAGCTGAGGAGGTTGTTTGCATATCATTAACAAATGAATAACATCACTTTAAAAAAAAAATTGTTTTTGTCTATCTGCTAATCTTTGGAATGGCTGAACCGATCATAATGAAATTTGACGAACAAATTGAGAAATCGATACATAGATTAAATGGCCCTTGATGATTATCTTACATCTGAATAACGCCACTGTAATAGAACCTACCCATGGTGATCCCCCTGAGCGTGTCCCTAATATACATTCTGTTTAATTTCTTAACCAGCTAATATTTGTGGAAATATTGTTTTAAATTTGATAGGGTTTATATTGTTTAATAATTAGGAATGATATAGATTCATTGAAGTTGAATGACATATTATGATTTTAATTCTACTATGTCTATAACCTTCGCACAAGTGCAAGCAATAAGTTGACAAAGTTTTAGCACAATCTGATTAACGGTATGGCAGCGCATAAAATACGAACACACAAATTTTAAATTTATTATTTATTAGATATCACATCGCTATAAAACATTATAATGAGTAATTTGAATAAAAAATATACTAATATTTTCATACATCATAATACATACATACAATAAAATTCGCCCTTTTCGTCATTAATGACAACCATAGATTTAGTAACTAACTAACTTTAGAATAGATTGGCAATGTAAAAGAGAAAGAGTATAGTTTACGTTTTATATATAGCCCGATAGCGTGGGCTGTATAGGCCTGGCGGTAGTAAAGTGAAAATTTGTGTTTAATAGACGTTATTAATTAGGGCTAGGTGGGTAGTACCTAAATATAAATCACCTCAGAATGAAAACCCACATTATTATACATTTAGCTCGTAGGCACAATTGAAATGGTTAGCTGTCTAAATGCTGTGTTTTAGAACAGGTACACAATTTGTACTGCAATGGATAGAAAATATTATCACATTTTATAATAATAATCATCTGAATGCAAAGCAATTTTATTTAAAATAATTACAAATATGTGAAATTCTGTTAATTTTAACCTCACTTTTGTAGAGATTGACATTAACCATATTATCTTATCGAAATTTCCTTCAATCGAATTTACAAGCAAAGGTATATATTATACTTGCATGCAGCCTTATTCAATTCAGTATTTTTTTAAATGATTAGATTTCCGTAGTTCAATATTCTTCTAATCGTATGAAAAAATTATTTTAATAGAATTAGGGTGACAAACGAGCACACAGTTCACCTGATGGTAAGTGGACACTTACCATCATTGAATTGTGTGCTCGTGTACATGCTGCTGCTGTCACATATTTTCACAAAATATTGATATTCGACAAAAATGGTTGAAAATAATAATTCCCAAAAGAAAATAGGCGATTATATGCAGCAAGTACTTTGAAGAAAAATGTTTTATCGTAGAGGTGCCCACTGCGTAGTGGCGGTGAAAGAATATCCACTAACCCATATCATTCTTTGGGTGTCGTAAGGGGCGACAGAGGGAAACAAATCAGGAGATGGACAGCAGCGGCTACCTAATAACAACAAAAAATAAAAATAAAACTGCGCTTGCCGACCCGCTTGCCAAGCGTAGTAACTATATCAAATATATGAGGCTATGAGACAATCTATGAGGGAGGGAGGGATGTTCAGCAGTAGACTAATAGGCTGTAACAGTAAAATAAACGTGTATTAAGGGAAAAACTACAACATATCCAACCATAAATACTTATTAATAAAATTACACATGAAACTTATTTTAATTGAATAGCAATAGGTATCTGAATATGTTTCGCATATTCTAAAAATTGACATCGTAGTCTTGTTGTTGGAAGTAAAGACTAGAAATGAATTGCTGGGTGACTCGAACTTTAGGCCTAGTCAGTTTGAATAGCCTATCATGTCATGGGGGTCATGGTGGAATAGGGGCAAAAAGTTCTCATTACACTCTTTGGGGATCAAAATGGCCAAAAACCAAAAATTTGGGGAGTGGCTTGAACTTTAGGCATAGTCAGTTTGAATAGTCTATCATGTAGAGGATGTCATGGGGGTCATGGTTGAATAGGGGCAAAAATTTCTCATTACACTCTTTGGGGGTCAAAATGGCCAAAAACCAAAAAATTAAAAATTCTTATTTCAGCTGTAACTCTGCCTCCTTCGGAGGTTCTTACACAGTATTTACTTCCCGCTTCCCACTTGTTTAATAACTTTTTAGTATACATTTCCTATCGCAGTTTAGTTTTAGTTACTAACTTTTAATTTGTACATTGTGTCCCTCGGTAAAGTGCAACCCCGAAACCATAAATTATCGACAAGAAAATAGACAAAAAGTAAAAAAATATGTATACTTAACTTTTTATTGACAAATTAAGATTTTATATCTTAAGGTGACTTTATGTACAAAAAAGAATGATTTCTACCAAAGTAGTGGGTCGATTACTTTAAAATAAAATAAAAATATTAGGCCATGTACTAAGCATAAGCGCGGTAAGGATAAAATAACAATTAGCTCGCAAAAAAGTGGTATCGTTACTATAACTTTGCTTTACGTGAAAAAAAAACTATTTTTATGGCTGTTTTCAATGATTTTTTTGATTTTTTTAATTTGATAGGCAATATGGTAGAGAATAATAATAAATTATCAAATTTTCAATTTACAGGTTTTAAGTTCGTTGGATAATTTAGATTTATAAAAATATTTTAACTAATAAATTATATTAAAGTTTAATTTTTTTTTAACATTTATTTTCGGAATGTCGAGAACATTCTGAATTACACGCTTTATTGGATCGCAGACACGATATCTCAATATATATTTAATTAGTATAGCCATTCAGCGAGGAAACGCAGCCAGCGTTCTTGGCACAATACCACTGGGACTAGGACTATGATAATTTAAGTTTTTGTTTTAGTTTTTCATATATGTAGTATCTTAAAAAATACGTACAATAGTATGTATTTCAATGTTTATGTGAATTCATGCAGCTTAAAACCCGCGAAAGGTCACAATTATTTTATTTGTCAATATACGATGAATATAGTTTAGAAGATCTGAGGGAACAGATGAACATACATAACCTTCTATAATTGTAACCTTCCATTTGTCTGTCCCGTAGTTGGGTAAAAATATTCACATACATCATTTGATTCACACCAGAAGACATGTTGAATATACTGTTATACTGTTGTCACCCACACATGCACTTTACACGCACACTGGTGTATTTTGATTTTGGTCTCGCCCTAATCACTCCATTGCCAATCTATACTATGCTATATCTATGGTGCCAACTCAATTTGTTTTTTTTTTTCTTTACTATTTTTTTCTTTGCTTACATAAGTGTCACAAGATGGTTTATTTTAAGGTATTCAAATAAATTAATTTTGTAATAGTAACTTTCTTATTTAGGTTTGAAAATTGATGTCTCAAAAGAATTTACTGAAATTTTTAATGAAAAGTAAATTTTCATGAAATACACTTTCGATAATAATAATAAGGTAGTGAAAAAGTTACATGACATGGTGGAAAAAACATACAGGTTCGTCCAAATAGTGACGTCCAAAAGAAAAATTTAAATTCCTCCCACCTAGGGGTATCCGAAAATACCCCATGTATATTATTCGATTTTTTGTAATTTTCGAGTTATAATTTGTTACAATCAATTTTGCGAACTTGTACCCCGGAATCCGGCTCAAGTTGACAAAGTCGTGGAAGAAGTCCAAAGAGACCCGTCTGCAAATTTAAGAAGAATAGCCACACGAACTGGAGTTTCACGAAACCCCGCCGCGCCAGCAGAAAACACTAAAAAAATACAAAAAAAAAAACAATTTTAACTCGAAAACTACAAAAATCAGATAACATACATTGGGAATTTTCGGATACCCCCAGATGTAAGGAACTTAAATTTTTCTTTTGACTTCACTATTTGAACCAGCCTGTATTTCTGTGTTACAAATTTCTTTCTAGCTTATCCCTGCTACCTTTACAGGTGCTGGACACATTTATATAAATTAATAAATGAGTATTGTCTAGAATATTTGACTTTAAAATATGTAATTATATCATTACACCTTGTGTAATTAGGGATAATAAACAAATTTAATCTAGACCCAATAGTAACCTTGTTGATGACAATTATTTTCCTAGGTTTGATTTTTCTATTAATTAATTACTAGATGGAGTACACACAATGTCCTGACGAAGATTACTTATTGTTTTTATTCAGATTGCTAATCTTTGTGAATAGCAGGAGCAATTGCAGCGACACACGGAGTCCGTGTCTAAGAAGGCACCGTGGTCCGCCGTGGCGACTCAGCAAGCGCAAGCGACCAACAAGGACGGGCTCACTCTAGCCGAGATACAGCGGCTTGAGAGAGAAAAGAAGTTAGAGCAGATGAAAGTTCAGCAGCAAATGATGCAGATTATTGCGCAGCAGCAGGCCGCGGCCTTGGCAAGGGAACAGGTGATTTACTACTTTCGCGTTATTAGTTCGCTCCCTTTTTAAGGAGGGTATTCTCGATCAATAGGGGGTGTCCGCTACTTTTGGGGGTGAACAAATTATTATTGTGTAAATTAATTTGCAGTAGGCAGGTCAACAATACAATATTATGTTTTGATATCACATAGCTGAAATGTAAAATGAAAATCAAACAATCAATTAATTTTGTACACATTATTTTGGTCAAACATGTCTTATCAAACAGTTTATCTTAAAACAAAATTGGATAATGTAAAAGAATTGTGTAGATTCGCGGAATTTTTTAAAACTAAACTATTATTCTTTTTGTAACATTCTATCTTCTGATACCAACTCTATTATAAGGTTGCCTCAGATTTTCTTTATATTTTTTCAGGAAATGCAAGCTGGACTCGGTTGGGCTAAAAAGAAGGGGACCAATGCCAACATACCGGGTCAAAGCTTGGCTGAAATCCAGGTTATTATAAAATCAATTTATTACTAGTTTCGTTTATAGTACTCGATTGTTTCTTCTTAAATTCGTAATAAAAAATATAGAGAGTCACTTATCAGGATAAAAACTATCCTATCTCTCGAGTTGGACCAAACTGCACAGTGTGTAAAATTTCATTGAAATCAGTTCAGTAGTTTAGGAATTCATCGCGGACAAACAATGTGTCACGTAATTTTTATATATAAAGATTAATTATGGTAAAGAACTATTAATTTAATCAAAATTGTATTAAGATTTTATTCATAAACACATGCCTTTTTTACTTATTGTAAGTCATTACATGGCTACAATCTCATTTGATATGGTAAGTGGTGATGTAGATTTTATTACTATACATTTTCCACTCTAGGTGGAAAATGCTACTGTCTAGGCAGATTAAATGTCGAGAGCGCTCCCGCATCAATGGATGCGACATACCGACTCTTTGACTTCGTCCAAATGGCTACAGATTCCGTGCTACAACTGATTCAATCCACAGAGATCGTGCTCCTTGACGATTTCAACGCCGCCGCCACGCCAAATGGCTCAGTTATCGTACTACCAATCATGCGGGGAGGTCTGTTTACGACCTTGCCTTGGTATTTGGTTTGACACAACTGGTCATTTCGCCTACGCGGATTTCAGATATAGAGGCTCATGTACCTTCTGCTGAACTCTCATCCGTACAGATATCAGGTCTCCGTCTATGCTCCTCTTGATTCTTCGAATCACTGCCTGATCATGCAAACACTACCGCACTCAGAAAGAAGTACAACTCTGCGTCTTGGTCATTCAACAGAGTTATAGGTAGAGCAACGTCGGCGCACATTGATAGAATGGGCAAGAAACTAGTTCGCCTTCCTTCGGGAACTTGTGCATTCTGTTCTGCCACTTCTGCGTAGGGAGGTTGTCTCGCTGACCCACTCCGCAAAAGAGAAAGCCGATCTTTTTGTGTCCCAACTATACTCTCGACGACTGGGAAAATCTGCCGCCGACCATCAAGCAGTGTGAATGCTCAAAGCAGGATGTTCGCTTGGCACAGTGCTCAGTAAGTAAAGCACTACAGTTCCTGGACGTAAGGACGTCCATCAGGCCCACTCCACTTCCATAAGGGGAGTGGGCCTGATGGACTAATGGATTTCCTCCAATTCTGCGGAAGACGTGTGCTCTAGAGTTAGCACCGGTTCTTACGCGTATTTTTCGGTTTTCTTACTCTTTAGGCGTCGTTCCAAGCATATGGAGGAAGCCTTACTGCACCCGATCCCTAAAAATGGTGCCCACTCGGACCCGCCCAACTACAGGCTTGTCACCATCACCTCCTTGTTCTCCAAAATAATGGAATCCATTATTAACTGCTAGATCACGAGGTACCTTGAAGAGCATCAGCTAATTCGTGACCGTCAATCCGGTTTCCGTCGAGGTCACTCACCTGGTGATCTTCTTGTCTACCTGACTTACCGATGGGCGGAGGCAGTTGAGACCAAGTGGAAAGACCTGGCGGTTAATTTGGACATAGCGAAGGCCTCCGATTGGATTTGGCACAAAGCGCCTTTCAAAGCTTCCCTCTTATTTGCTTACGGCGAAATTATCCAATTGGGCCTCCAGTTTTCTTACGTCGTAGTCGACGATGCATGCTCCGGCTCCAAGTTTGTGAATAGTGGTGTTCCACAAGTCTGCGCGCTATCGCCTAGCGTGTTCCTTTTGCATATCAATAATTATATGTTGCATACTAGTAACATTCATTGCTATGCAGACGACAGCAATGGCGATGGCTTTTACACCGGCCGTGCTAATATTTCTCGGGAACACGTCGAGTGCTGGAACAAACTTGTGTCTGAAGTCGAGTCTTTCTAAATCTAGTCCAGTTTAACTTCCAAAAGACACAGGTTTGCGCGTTTACCGTATCTCCCTAATTTCAAGGCACGTACAAGGCCCTCGTTGTGTTAGCCATCATCGGAATCCTTCGCGTTGATCGCGCCATTTCAAAAGAGAGGACTGTACCGTATTAGATGGAGAACGGCCAAAATCAAAAACCAAACTCTTACCGAACGGCTTGAACTAGCCTTGCGAAGAGACGTTGCATCTCTGCGTCTTCTACCGCATATACCGTGGGGAGTGCTCAGATAAATTGTTAGAATTAATTCGAGCTGCTGAATTGCACCATCTTACACTGCAACAGAACTCGAAATTCCATCCTCATCATCTCGATGGATGGCTGTCCACTACGTTGCGATTTACGCGGAATTTTTTCACTCTCACGACCATACTGAAATTTATTTCCCCGCGCGCTCCTTTGTAACCTTGCGCCCCTAGGCAAGTGCCTAGTTTGCCTTTAGGATAATCCGTTATTGTATTCAGTCTTGCCTTAAATTACATCCTATTCTAGCTTAAATTTAACAGTTTTACATCCTATTCTAGCTTAAATTTAACAGCAATAACGGTTAAATCGTCTGTGCGTCCATCATCGTCATCGCATGTGTATTTAGGGTTCCGTACCCGAAGAGGCCTCCGCTGTCCGTCCGTCTGTCTGTCAGCGGCCTGTATATCAGTTCAAATTTAACAGATAATAAAAATAAAATAAATTAAAAATTAAAGGGGGCTCCCCTACTGGAAACGTGCATTAAGATGGTACTCTTGACCGGTTTTTTGTGTTTATGTTTACCACACTATGAATTATTTTTAGGTTTTGTATCGTGGCGGTGCTTTACAAACAAATTGCACAGACAGGAAACATCTAGATTCGAAAAAATATATTTGTAGGCCATGCAAATACTGTTTTCCTGCGGGTATCATATCTAGAGTGCCGCAACCAAACGCTTCCTTTTTGGCCTCGATGAAAAGTGAAGAAAAGCAGGTGTCAAAAATGTTGCTTTTGGCCTGTTTAATATTCCATTTCTAAGCCTAAAAAGTAAAAAAAATACGGAAAAACGGTTGACCCTGGAACTTCCCACTTATTTTCAAGCGCAACGCTCGAAAATCTATTTAATTTTTGTTTTGTTGTGGCTCGACCGATTGACTTGAAAATCAAATCAACTCGACGTCTCAATGAACACTTTCGAACGCCGTTTCGTCGCCCATCTCGATCGGTTGACTCGTTCTAAATTCTAAAGTTATCGTACGTATTTCATTTACATACAAACACGCACGCTCGCGCGGGCTCACACACACACACACACATGCACGCACACACACATGAACGCACACACGCACACACATACGAACGCACACACGCACACACACACGAACGCACACACGCACACGAACGCACACACACACACATACACGAACGCACACACATACACACACGCGCACACACATGCACGCACACACGCACACACACGCGCACACACACACTCACACACACACACGTACGCACACACGCTCGCACAGATATTATACACTCTGTCAAACTGTAAAACAAAAGCAAATAAATATACGTTACGAATCTATTCCCCAACCTATTATTTTGAATATTTCAGTCGTAGTGTTGCCGTGCCATTTCCAGTTAAAATCATTTCTAGTCGAAAAAACTCGTACTTATATATACTCGTACTCGTATTTACGGAGGGGCAAAGCAGTTATTTCGTGTTTTGGCAGGCGGAGACCCGAAGACAAGCTGCTGTGGCCGCCGCTGCTGCGGCCGCCACAGCTGCTCAGGCCTTCGAGGAAGCCCAGGCTGCGCCACCGCAACCTGTCAATCACGCTCCTTGGGGTAATTCAGCTAACGGAGGTGAGCGCACATTATTAATACATTAATGCCAGGACTCTAACATACTTACTCACTCGCCACTCTTATAAACGGTACTAACTGATCAGAATTTCTGTTCCTAGAAAATGTTTTGGGGCTCTTTACTTAGTAATTTTAGTCGGAACAGGAAAAAGAAAACCTTTGCCAATCACTTACTCTCAACAGTAATGTTAAGCGTTAGGAGTCAACGTATCATTCTATGTAGTGGCGAAATTTCTTTTTGAAATTCAGTGTTCTTTGTTGTTAGCTTAACAAAACAGCCAAATGTTTGTTTTTATTTATAATTTTTTTAATGCTAGGAGGAGTACAAAACACATATTGGAAAAATATTATAAAAAACTTAAAAACAGTAGTTTTTAAAGCATTTTTGGTGGTGTACTTGTTTGAGTACACTGGTCACTTAGAGGTGAAATTTTATGAAACATGAATTTTTGATATTTTTTGCACTCCCAGCGGACTCTTGAGTGGCAAAGTGGGACTACGTAGCTGTTTCTCGATTTTTATGATAGTGTACCGAGCTATCTTGGGGCAAACCCTCGACTAAAGACGAAGACCTGCCTGTACCTGTTCCTGCCGTAAATAGTATCGAACAATACTGCGCCAAAACAAAAGGCCGCGCCAGGCCAGGCCCCTATCATCACTCTTGGTCCCTGCGTGAAATAACTACCTGCAATCACGAGGCGCCCCGGGGTAGAACGCAGTCGTGGCTAACGCGTTCTAGGCAATTGAATGTTAAAGTTTTTTAAGTATTCACAAAAAACTAGTTACTTAAGCAAGTAACTAGTTTTTTGTAAATACTTGTTGAAATATATATATAATACGATCACGAGGCGCCCCGGGGTAGAACGCAGTCGTGGCTAACGCGTTCTAGGCAATTGAATGTTAAAGTTTTTTAAGTATTCACAAAAAACTAGTTACTTAAGCAAGTAACTAGTTTTTTGTAAATACTTGTTGAAATATATTATATATATATATATATATATCTTAACTTTAGCAGGAGGTTTCTGGGACACTCAGTCAAATACAACTGCCAAAGCTGTTGAAAAATCACAAGAGCCACCAAAGGTAGTTGAGCCAAGCAAAAACAACAAGAAGAAGGCCGCTCCTGCTGCTATTCCTAAGAAAGAGACCACCCCTGCGATTGAATTCGAATCGTGGTGCACAACTGTGCTCGCTTCATGGAGCTCAAAGATCGACGGTAAATTTAAAAAAATTATAATTTGTATCCCTTTAACTTTTATACATTATGAATATAAATAGAATTTCATATAATGTAAATGCAAATTTTTTCTCAATTTGTCTTACCTATATAAGGACTAAAGTGGCTGTATCAATTATAACAGTAATAAGATTTAAAGAAGAAGTTCTTTGGTCTAGATGTATGTAATACACATTATGGTAATTTTGAGATGAGATGAACAACTTCCACATGAAGGTTAACAAGGTTGCATTTGCCCCACTTCCTGTTCTAACATCATTCATTACTTAGACGTTTTTATCTGGCCTACTATATTATAGTAACAGCTCTTCTTATTTCTTATTGTTAAACATGTTTATGAGCTTTATTCGATTTAATCTGAATATATTAAATTCAATTTTGCAATGTTTTATTGGTCATTCTTGCATTATTTACAGTTAATTTTGAGAACAATGTCTTAAAGTTTTTTTTTTAAATTTCTGCGTGCTCCGTGGCGCTGTGGCTTAGCAATGAGTTACGGGCGGGTTCAAATCCCGCACGGATCAAGTATTTGTATGGCCTACAAGTAATTGTTTCGAGTCTGGATGTTTGTCCTTGTGCAATTAATCTATGTAAACTGCCTCCACGATACAGGAGAAACTAGGATTTTTAACCTTTTTTTTAACTAGCTAAAAGTACAACTTTGTAATGGCTCGCAAATTCTTATAAATAACATTTTTAAAGAATCGTTCTGAAAAAAAAAAGCATATTATTGACCTTGGCCAGGCCATATCTAAGCCTGTCTAAGTTGCTCCAAAACAATGTCGGAATCTGAGAGGTTATCCGACATTTTTTCTTCATCAAGTTATGCTCTATTCATAATCAGTGCCATCTAACGTATCTAACGTGATACTACTACAAAGTGTTTTTTTAGTTTTCTTACACGCCCATTACACGCCTAGGCAAGCGTCAATCAGTTCGATCAATCATGATTGACGTTTGAATGATAGAATTATTTCGACATTACACGCTCATGCTGACTGATGTCAGTCAAACCCAAATTTTCGGAGGGAAAGGACCTACCTATAAACTAAGTTCATTTTCGATTCACCATTTAACTGTAATTTAATACCTTGAAAAGTAAAAGAAAAAAAAACGAATAGGAAAAATTGTAATATTTAATATCATTTTACCCATTTTAATTTAACGCGCGCCAATGTTCGACCTCTTCGAGCGCATAATCGATACGCGGCTTTATTTGAAAGGCATTTATGGACAAAAAATAAGCTTACCTTTTATATTTATTCGTATAGGGTGGATGCCCCTATACGAATTAAATTGGCCTTTTAGTGCCAATTTAAATTTCCTTTTGTGTACCTAATGCCAGCATAGCATAGGGCTTATGCCTTTAGAGTTTTTGATAGGTACCTATTGTAGGTAAGTTTTAGGGGCACTGAAATAAATTCATAACTTTTAACTTTTAATTTTAAATCATGCATGTCACAAGCATGGAATATGTAATAAGATAGACGACAACAATTATTTTATTTTAATGTTTTACTTCTTACCTTACTGTGGTTTAGTTTTAAGCAATTCCATTTTTCTTTTAACACTAAAAATTTATTAAAACAATTGTAATAAAAATTATGTATTATAATACATCGATTTCTTATAATTTAATCATCCAAGTTTTTGAATTTTCATCATCATTTCAGCCCTTCACAAGTCCACCACAGAACATCATCCTCCATAGACTGCCGCAAAGCATGGTCCTGAACCACTTTCCTTGTTATGACTTTCTCATTTATGCTCTTAAGTTATAGTAAAATTAGTATTATTAAGTTGTAGTTAATTACATTTATTGTTTGTTTTATTCTTTCTCAAAAAATAATTAAATATTGTATGGTGTTCTTAACATATACCAAATGTCTGAAAAGCAATTACGTATCATTTGCTAAACTTTTAAATCAAAAACCAATTTTAAAATATAGGCGAATTGATCATAACTTCCTAAACTATAAAATAAGTTATGTTCTAATTAATGGTATTTATTCCAGTTTATGACAGCTTAGTTATATTACGTGGCTGAAATTAGGTACTTCTTATTATGTACGTCAAACCAATTAACAGCCCGGGCAGCTGACATTAAGCACTCCATACATTTCATATATCTAATAACAGTCCCATTAATTTCCACTAAAATAAAATTAAAAACTTATGGATTTTAACAAAAATAGCTGCATTACTATGTCTATAGTCACATTCATACAAATCAAAAAGCCTAAAGATGAGCTAATGTAAAATATGCTTAATTATATCGGGACCATAAATTGTCAAAAAATTAGGGAAATTAGCGTTTTTCGTTGCGTACGTGTTTTGGTTTTTAATTTAACACTGTTAGGCTTAAAACTATGAGGTAATATGTGAAATATACTTTCCCCTAGTTACGAAGAATTTATTAGCCGACAATATTTGTAGTTAAGACTACTAGAAATCTTATTTACGTAGTAAAAAGGCGGCAAGGCTGGAATTAGGGGCGTGGCTGGTGTTAGGGGCATCCACCCTACCCGGGGTTTTTCGTGTCCCAAAACTCGGGGAGAGCCCCAAAATTTAAAATAATCCGCCTCGATAGTTGATTGACGTAAAAATCAAAATATCCAAATATTTGTCAATCCATTTCATGCAGCCGTCAATCACCGCATTACACGGTAGGTTATTCGTCAATAACAACCGTGATTGTTGTAAAACTGACAGCAAAACCTAACGTGTAATGGGCGTCTTACAGATAGCGTTAGTAATACAATAAAAATGTAATTAATGAAAATTGTTATATCTTCTATTTTTTTAAATGTATATAAAACAATATTTTTATGATTGATAACACATCTAGACATGAATTGAAAATACTATGTCAAAGCGCAAACCTGAAAGTGTTATAGTTTCTCAGTACAGTGTCCCACAAAAATGTATAGATTGTGGGATAGTGATGAGGTTTTTTATTATTTCCAGTCTTAAAGCTTTTGATGATTTCTTTTAAATATAGCAGTGAAATTTGGGAGATACTTTTGACTACACTGTGATATGGTCAATATAAGTAAAAGTACTTACCCATATTAGTGTAACCAGCACCCGTTTGTGATAAGGTAGATTGATGAGGTACACACTAACAACCGATACTTTGTTAAATTTACCACCAAAAAAAATTGGTTGTTAGTGTTACATTAACCGCATATTAATTGTATTGTAACTGGTTTCTTTTAAGTGCCAACATTCGTCGGCTTCCTCAAAGACATCGAGTCACCATATGAGGTGAAAGATTACGTAAAGTGCTACTTAGGAGAATCTAAGGATTCAAACGATTTCGCTCGGCAGTTCTTGGAGAGAAGGTATGTATAAGTATAATATACACTTAGATATCTTTTTTTTTCTATATTTCTTTTTAAAACGTGATTAGGCATACCTTCTTCATTGTCAGCCCGTAAAAGCCCACTCTTGAACATTGGACACTGTTGTTGTAGGAAGGACTTGCCTATCTGCTACCACATGGGTGATTTTTATATTATACCAGTGAACTGCCCCGGCTTCTCGCAGGTGATTCTGAATCTCGATAATAGCGCCACCTATCGGGTCTAAATGTGAAACTAAAATCTAGAGATCAATTCAAACACAACACACACAAAAATTTAATCAAAGTCGTTGCAGCCGTTTTTTGAATTTTAACGGGATTAACGGACAGCAAGTGATCTTTATATATGGAAAATATTACTTAGAGACAAGTTTATGATCAAATTAACTGAAACAAATAACATAAAGGGGCAGTTTAGAAGTTTCCTAGTTCATAAAATAATTGCCATGAGTAAATATTTTCCACAATCGTCGTTCTGTTTTTAATATTGAATATTGCTACTTATTTAAAAAAACATTTAATGCTTTCATATATACGAGTAGCTATGCTGTTGAGGGTTTATGATATTTCACATAACTTAACATGCCGATTGCGTCTTTTACTTTTGAAATATGCAGTCGCATAAACTGTTTCTTTGTGTAAAAAGTAAAATTAAAGTAAAGTTACAGCCTATTTACGTCCCACTGCTGGACACAGGCCTGCTCTCATTTCTGAGAGGGTTTTAGGACAAGGAAATGTCCGCCGCGCTGCCGCTATATTGGCGAACTTAACATGTCTTTGAAAATATTTTTTTCTTATTTCTCAGACATGCCAGTTTCATCACGATGTTTTCCTTCACCGCCGAGCGTGTACTTCATTAAAATAGTTCAAATCTCATATTTACCTTGATTCTGCCTAACTCGTCCTTCTTGGAATAAACATCTGTCATGACTGAAGACTGTTAGACGCGCTGTGTAATTAATTAATGGAATTCTTTGATTTTATACTCTAGGGCCAGTATTAATTACAGTATTATTTACAATCTTCAATTTTAACTCAAACTCCACAATGTAGAAATTGTTTCTCTTGGTGTCTGAGAAAACAGCGCCTACTGATTTATCTATTCTATTAATTGCAAAATGTGTTTCTAATAGGTCCAAACTTCTCCGTGTTGGTATGGTGACCCCATCAGACGATCTTTGCTCTCCGGCCATGGCGATTAATCCTCGGAACCCCTCTGGTTCAGACTACCAGGAGGTGAAGGTTTGTGCATGTTTTTCTTACACTTATTTTAAAAAGTACAGTTAATGACAAGTTATCTACTGCTCTTACGAATGGTGTGGCTGATAATGATGATTTTAAGGCTGAAGGCAGCATCCCATATGCTAAAGAGGCGCCCAAGTAACTTAGTGTCGTCTAACGAGAATGAGACATTTAGAAGAAAATACCAACGGTAGTGCCTCTTGTTGTCTAGATGATGTCTTCTGTCTGTTGATGAGTTAATGAACTCCATCAGGAGCCGAAGCGTTACGTGACTGATTTTTAATGATGTCAGATTCGTATTTAGTATACCGCCTAGTAGTGTCTAGATTAAGCACATCTACTGAGATAAACGGCAAATTGCCGCTCGCCTTACTAGGTATCAGTCAGGTAAAAACCAAAAAATGGAACCTACCAAGGATACATTTATATTCTTATTCTGGGTTGAAACGTAATTAAAAAGTTGAAATAGCTTCTAAAGAACCGCCACAGCGATGTCACGTCGTTATTGGTGATATCTGTATTGGGGTTGGCCTTATTCTCGATTGCCGCTAGAACTTCACAGTTTGAGACCCCGTTTGATTGGTGCAGAAGCTAACCTTGAGTGGCGCTTTACGAGTAGTCGCCGCAGTTCGAATCGTCAACGACCGAGTTCTTTCTGATCGGCTCGATACACTGGCGCTGCGTAGGGATGTTGCATCCCTTTGCATTTTCTATCGAATTTACCACGGGGAGTGTTCTGAGGAATTGTTCGGATTAATTCCAGCCGCCAAATTTAACGAACGCACATCGCGTCAAAATTCACGATACCAATCTCACCATCTGGATGCTTGGCGGTCCACGACTGTACGTTCTACTAGAAGTTTTCTTCCTCGTACAACTTCTTTGTGGATTGTTTACCACCAGCGATTTTTCCGGACCAATACGATTTAGGGACCTTTAAGAAAAGAGCTTACACCTTTCTAAAAGGCCGGCAACGCATCTGCAATTCCCCTGGTGTTGCGGTTGTTCATGGGCGGCGGTAGTTACTTACCATCAGGTGAGCCGCATGATCGTTTGCCCCCTCTTCTATATATACAAAAGGTACGGTGGGTGGGATCCTGGGATATAGTAGAAAGTCATTTCGGCTAAACTCACTGTCAAGCTTAAGGATGACGGCAAACACTCCATTGCAGGACTTGTTTATATAGTATATTATTTATGGACTAAATTGTAAAAAAAATTCGTAAATATTACAGGGCAAGGGCAAAAAAGCAAAAAAGAATAAGATGCTTAAAGTCGACGCTCGTATACTCGGATTCTCAGTGACGGCAGCCGAAGATCGGATCAACGTCGGCGATATTGACACCGTCTGAATGCTTACGCCATTTTAATGTGTTCATTACAACTCGCCTTGTGATAACCTGCGCTGGTAATATAAATTATAATTTAAATTTAAACTTATGCCGCTCGCCCGAACGTTATTGCGTATAATGCGACACACAATGGTATCCATTTGCGTGCGCGTGAACTTCAGCAATCACAACAGCAAATATATACTTTATACGGTCGCGATAAGGTTTATTCTTTCAATACTATTTTGATTCGGGCTGCCGCTTCCATGAACATTTATTGGTATAGTTGTAATATTCTCTCTCACACACCGTTATTATTAGATAGTGATGTGAAGTGTAATTTATCGTATTTAGTAGTATTATTTGAACACTCAAACTAAATACGGTTGCGGACCTACCGTTGTATAGAGACTTATTGTGCCTTCACTGTCTATTAGCCGTTGCGTGTTTTTTGATAGTTTATTTATAATATTACGCATGATTTTTAATTTTAATGCTTGAATTGTGATTTGAGTGCGGTGCAGCGCAATAAACAAATAGCGACTGTGCATGTCTTAGTATCAAAACTTCTTAAGTATTTATCAACGTTGCATTTCAGTTTCAAAATAATCTTTTATCTAGTAGTGTAGGAATTCAAAAGTGCTTAGCAAATGTAATTTAGAATCATATGCGTGATGATACTAATAGGCTTAAAGTAAGTAATTTTTCTTATTAAGGAAAAAAATCTTACTGTATTTTTTCTCTTAATTGCTTGAAATTAATTTGAGATTTTTATCTGTATACAAAAAAAATCTTGATTCTTATTATATATTAAATAAAATTATATTTTTATATTTTAAGGGATTCCATTAGATTTTCAAGTGCAACCTTAATTTTTTTAGAAATACTCTAACAAAATTTGAGAATGTATAATTAGTAAGGCAGATGTCCAAACAACATGCATGAAATAAATTTTTGACAATTTAAATTTTAGAAATTAAATTAATTGTGCCAAACTTTATGTAGTGTAGTATAAAATGTTGGTGTGTAGTAAACACTTTTTAATCATTTACTTAATTGTTTTGCGTTAAAAATAAATATTATCTCCATTCTGTGAAATTGCTCAATACGTATTATTTGTGGTATTTATTTGTCTGGCACTTGTATGATAAAAAAATGACTGTTAATGCTTCAATTTACTTAAAAGCAAATCGAAGCAAGCTCTTAAAATCACACTAAATAAATGGCGCCCGTTTTGAATTAGTAGTTAGATGTGTAATATAAAAACAAAATAATAAATATTAAAGTTTTTTATTATGTCAGAAAACTAACTTAAGGTTAAGCTGCACCGCATTCAAAATGTTCAAATGTTTGTACATTCTGCTATTCAAATGTCACACAAATTGCAATATATTATTTATTTAATTGTTAAATAATTTAATTAAAATGTACTACAATAGGTGAATTATTATTCGTGTTGTTCAAATGTCTTGTAAGTATATTATATGTTGATTGTAATAAATAATATTGCGGCGATGATTTAAGCAATGCATAATAATTGAGTATACAATCAGAATATTACTAGTCAATAATTAAACAATTTAATCCATTATATTTTTTTAATATGAGATGGTGTATTCCTCCTACAGCTTTTTTAACCCTTAAAAAATAGACTAAATAGGAAACGCATCAAAAATTCTGTATAATGATTCCGATCTAGTAACTGAAAATAAATTAATCATTGGTCCTTTTTCTTCATTAATTTTTCTTGTTAAATTAATTTATTTTTGGGTGCAGCGTTTAAAAACTGAAATAATTTATGGGTACACTTAATTGGTATTGATCAAGTTTAAATAACTATTTCTTTTTAGAATAAAAACAAGTTTAACAAAACCTTCACCTTTGTAACGTTTGTTAAAACATTATGGTGATTTTTTTCCCAGTCATATGACCCTAATACTGTATCAACAACTATTTTATTCGTATACGTATCGTATAATATACGGCGTATTTTGTTCGATAGTGCTTACATATGTTACACTTGTACTTGTTGCACTCCAGTGCGTGTTGGCGGTTTCACATCGTGCTCAAAACATTTTATTTTTAGGCGTGCCGGTTTCCTCACGATGGTTTCTTCACCGTTGAGCACGTGGTAGATAAACATTTAAAATTGCATTTAACAATTGGATATATTTACGCAAAAAGGATCCAATGTAATTTGTGTCAAAAATGTTCAGTTGAAAAATAATGTTTGTGGTCTATACTATTATGTGATGCAACAATTTTAGCGAAAGTAACACAAATAAGAAGAAAAATTACAAACACACACACAAGCCATACAGATCCATTCTTCAAATTTCATAACCTCAAATTAGCTTCCTTTTTAGCGTTGGATCCTTTTTGCATAACCACGTCCAATTGCATGGGTGTCGATGGCGATCGATACCGGGTTGCTCGCATACCTTGAAATGATAGCGATCTGTTCTACCGGCTTGTCTATTAATGTATTCAGTTGGATATTATAAATTTAATGTATTTTTTAAGAGTAACAAATGAAAAGTAAGAAATTAAGCGAATATTTGTGCAACTAGAAAGAACTATTAAAATAACTATGTGTGTTAGATGATTAAAGTAAATTTTTAAAATGTTACCTCTGTAACTCCTTACGTATCTAATTTTCACAAAATAATACTTTCTAAAACTTCATTAAAGAAGATATAATATGAGAGACTATGATTGTGTCAATTGTATTTTTTAGTTTATAAAATGTCGAAAATAGTTGTACCTTACGTAAGTTTGAAATAGATAATTGATAACACAGTGTGTAAACGTTCTATTATTTTTAAATACTTTTTTTTAACAAATAAAATATTTACAATATAAGACCTCTTATATATATATATATATATATATATATATATATATATATATATATATATATATATATATATATATATATATTAACCTTTTCTGTATGTTAGTCTAATAACTTAAGAATTTTTAATGTTTTATGTATATACCCACATAAGTAAAATTTTAAATATATGTGTAAAAATAATTCTGTACATAAATAATTGTTTCTTTTCTAGCCTTATTAAATATTTGAAAACTTTGTCAGTTCTTTCTTGGTTATTGAACTATCTGCACTATTCGGAAATGTTCTGAGCTCGTTACTACCGACGCAATTATCGACAGTTTTACGTTGGCTGATTTAAACCCAATTCAAAATCATATTGTTTCGAACAGTTATTCTAAAGCAAAACTAGAATTGCGCTCAGGGCATTTACAGTGAATAGGTACTATTTGTGTCTTTAACTGTCCACAATATCTGTATGTTTTCTTGCGGTTAGTGTTCAATAGTATTAACTGTGTCCGTGTCTGTGGAGCAAAAGAGTATGAATTTTTTTAAATTTGAGTATGTCGACGATGTGTTTTATTGGACCTTTTAGTAGTATGTGTGTACAGAATTGGAATAATATATAATGATGTTCACCTAATTATATTATACTACCTGTAGGCCACACATAGATTTAGAAAGAATATTAAATTAAAATATTCTTAGTTTATAACTAAACTATAAATTTTAATGTTAAGTGTTTCTATCGTGTAAATGATTTGTTTTAGAATCGTTACTTATATAATTAATCGTTATAACACCTTGTCCTCTACTCCAATTACATTATTGAAGGGATTTTAATAATTAGATTTTTAAATGAATTGTTGAATTAAATTCATGAATAAAGATATTAATGTATTTAAATTGCAATTGTGAAATTTCACTAAGTGTTTGTGAGATAGCCTTATGTGAGGACAGTTTAAGACTGTAATATGATTATTTAATTCATTTTCAATGAATAACACGATTTGATATGATACAGTTTTAATTGTAAAATCTGTGGTAATTGATTATTTCAACTAACATTTTATTGATTAATGTTATAAAGAAAGAAATAATTAGGATATTCAATATTACTTTTTTTTTAGATATTCGTTTAAATTAATGTTCCATTTTATATGGGTAGGTGTTTTTGTAACTTGCACTCGCTGATTTTTATCACTTGCCTTGTGAAACATGATTGATGATACTCTAAGAATTCCAGATAAAAGAACATGCGGTCATAAAATAAAAATAAAAATAATAACTTTGTACACTATTTTTTACGTATACTTACACCATCCTTCTGATAGTTAAACACTAGGTACCTAATAATTTAAAAATAATAAAGTAATATATGATTTTCACTAGTACAAAACATAACCCTGAATAACCTGTAATTTTATAAAAAATTGTCTTTTTTTAAAACACATTACTGAAACAAATCAAAGCAAAGCCGTGTCTAATTAAAAATGTAAGAACTTTAGGGATGCCTTAATACGACATCGCATATACGCGGCGTTTATCTTTGGTAGTTAGCTATTTTCTAATTATTCATCATCCGGCATTTATCAAGGTGTCACTAGCAACTATAAGATACAATAAAAACTATATACTAATAGTTACCAAATATATACTAATAGTAATAGTAACAAACCACCCCAACAATATATGAAGCACAAGTAATGTGTCAAACTTGGAAGTTCATTTTAAGTAGAAATAGACATGAATTCACACATTAGTCCCGAATGAAAAATATTCCTTCATTGACCCCTTTCGACTTTGTATCCCCTAGCGACAATCGTTTCCGATGTTAAATGCATGCAATAGGAAAAAATAGGCATACAATTGTTGTCTACTGTCGTAACACAAGTTAGTGACGGTCGGCGTGTTTACAGGTTATACCTTGTTAGCCTTGGAGCTGATTTTTCAATCATCTTATATAAATATCTATCGAATAAATTATAACCAGAGAAAATATAAAAGTGAAACAATTAAACTACTTTACACATACCACTGCAATGTTTAATTTGTATATGTTCTAGTTTATCATATGAATAACTTAAATCTAATGATTGTAAGATCAGCCCTAAATAAAATATATTAGGTATATATGTACATGTTCAGTGGTGAAAACATTTTGACTTTGATAAGTGTAGCCCTTTAA